TGCCCGGTGTGATGGCGGAGGGCAGCTCGGTGGCAGCGCCCTGCTCTCCCCAGGGTCTCGGGGCTGACCCCAGCTCCCCACAGAGCTCATCAGAAGCTTTCCTGTCTCCTCGCTGGGTCCCGAGGCGTGCGTGCGCTCGCTCGCTGTCGCGCCCTCCCGCTCTCCCCGCCAGCGGCGAGGGGGCCGTGCCAGGTGGCTGTCTGCCAGGTGGGCCCTGCACCGTGTGGCACGTTCGGGCTGCCCATCCCGGCTTCGTTTTACAAAGCGTATGCTCCTCGCCTTCACGCTTGACAAGGAAACCCTCCCAAAGCGCTCCAGAGCCGCGGCGCTTACCTGAGGCCGCAGGCAGCCAGGAGTGAAAGTTTTATTAATAGGACTGTCCTGTTTCCTCTTCCCTGTGGGAGGAAAGAGGGAGGGGGAAGGGGGAGGAAACAGCAGTGTGGGGCCAGGAGGGACTGCGCGAAATCACCTTCCCTCTGCATCGAGGCAGGAGCAAGGCTGCCTGGTAGAGGTTTGTCCGAAGCGGCATGGGGCACAGAGATCCACGGCAATCTGCCAGCCACCTCGGATAACTGAGGAGAGGGGGTGCCCCCGAGGGGATCTCTTACGGTGCAGCTGCCCCAAGATGAGCTGAACCCCACCGTGCCAGGGTGACTTGGACACACAGCCCCTCAACACCAGCCAGGCTGTGCTGGAGTTGCCACTGTTCCCACCCCACTGGCGATCTCTTCCCACGGAAACCAGTGTGGCACCTCCGCACTGGGGCCCAGCCTGCACCGGTGTGCCCCAACAGGAGCTGGTAACACCCCCAGAGTGTCATCTGTTGTCCCCAGGAATCATTTAACCCTTTTTCTGTCCCCTCCCAAGCTGCCAGGGATGGCTTTTAGCATCTCTGCCCTTCCTCCCACAAGCACAGAGCCAGTCCCCAGGTTTCTGCTGTCCTGCCCATTTGCTCTCGGCTCTGCCACATCCACCCAAGCCCTCTCCCTGCCAGCGCATGTGGCCATTCCTAATCATCTCTAGCATCTTTCCTTGCTCTCTTGCCACAGATGGCCCGGAGGTGGTGTCCACACTCCCCCAAGGTGGGTCTACAGAGGGAGACAGGGCTTTGTCAGCACTGCCATCCTCTGCCTTTGCTGACCCTGTCACCCCTGCTCTGCCTGCCTGGCAAGCCTGGCACTGCTGCTCCAGGGAGAGCTTTATAAGACCAGAGAAAGAGGATCTCTCTCTTCGCCCCTCGCTCGCACATCATTCACAGTCTGTTCACATTGTTAAACAGCACTTATAGAAAACACAGCCAGTACTGAAATAAAATCCAGAGACAGGTGGCCATTCGGTGTCCTTGGGTTTTGATTATATCCCCCACTTTTAGGCCTGACCTGCTCAAGCCCAGCTTCCAGCCCTATCCCAGCAGGACTCAGCCCAAGCTCTGCCCCAGTGCAGGGTGATCAACTCACTCCTCTTCAACAAACTAAGCCCCCAACACATTTTGAGCTTCTCTTCCTAGGGTAGCAGCTTTTTAACCTCATGAAAGGTGGAGATTGTGGGCAGCTGGGTTGCGTTATTCACAGCCCGCCTCCCCCGCACCTCTGTGAGTGTGGGTGTCACTGCAGGGCTGCGTCCCACCAGGAGCTGCATATTGCACCCATATGGACCTGCAAGCGAAACACATTAGCTGGGTGCTTCTGCTAACCTGATCAGTAGTGCAGCAATTAGCACTGCCTTCAAAGGGACCCAGAGATGTTGTTTCTGGGCAGCAGCCACTGCATCCCAGAGCTTGCACAGCCTTCAAAGAGCAAAGGGGCAGAGCTGGAGACCTTGGCCAGCCCGCACACCCCAGTGCCGTCCATGAGAGTCCTGCATGGGGAAGCGTGCCCAGGTCTGTCACCTCCCCGGAGCACCGGGGTCCTGCCTTGCTGGGGCACAGGGAGAGCCCAGGGAATGCAGTGGGTCAGGGAAAGCCAGCAATGGGGGGGAGCCCAGTGCTCCTGTGCCCCAGGGCTTTGGCAGGGGGACAGCAACAGCCAGCATCACTGTCCTGTCACTGCAACCTCATCACCCATCTCCTACTGTCCTGCGGGCACAGGATGCCAACCCTGGGTGACCTCACTGCCACCCAGCAGCTGGGGGAGGGGTGTCCCCCTGCATTTAGCCCTGGCAGGAGGGCAACGCTGGCCCCCTCCCGGCCAGCCGCCTGCCCGCCCCAGGGTCCTGAGGGAGTGATGCTCCTTGTGCCCTTTGCCCATGCCCCGGCTGCCAGGCATGGCCACAGGTGACCCCAGGCCAGAGGTGTGCATGCCTCCAGCCCAGGGCTCAAGGTGCGTGTGTGTCTCCCAGCCTGGCACCAGCGGAGGAGGACAAGTGCAAACACTGTGGCCAGTGGGGCGGGAGGAGGTTATCTGGGGCCCGGCAGTGGAAAAACTCTTGGTGTGTGACTAAGGCACGATAGCACCAGGTGTGGGTCCAGGCAGGGCAAGCGAGCCGGGGAGTTATCGCTTCCCCGTGGGTTCAGGTGCCTGAAGCCAAATGTTTCCTAAGGGTGCGGTGACAGCCACAGCCCCGTTATCATGGTGCCTGGCCCACCCCAAGTGGCGGGGACGTGGGGACAGGCTGATGGACCTTCCCCCCATGGCAGGGATGGGACACTTCCCAACGTTCCGCCGGGAGGGGGGACACCAGCCCTGGGAGCATCCTTCAGCAGGGACGCCCTGTCCCTGGGGACCCGAACTCTCACCTTGTGTTGTGGCGAGGAAAGGTCTGTGTCAGCCCCTCCAAGCACCCCCAAATAGTCCCTCCCACATTGGAGCACCCAGGCTGCATCCCACCTCCAGCACCCACATCCGCTCCCCAGCTCCATGCTGTCCCTGTGGACCGCAGCAACCCCAGGGTCAAGCCCCTTCTCCCCACGGCCCCGCGTCCCCGGGCCAGCTCTGTGGGACCTGCTGGCTGCAGCATGGGGGATCCCCACAAGCTGGGTCACCCCCAGAGAACAGAAACCCACCTGAGCTGCTCTTTTGCTCCCCCCCCCAGCCATGAAACCCCCAGGGCCCCGCTCCTGCTGGCAGGTGACTGCAGGGTGCCAGGCCACACTGCAGCCATGACTCACCCCTCTGTGGGGAGGTGTTTCTCCATGCCTCGCTCCTTCCCTTCCCTGCTTGCCTCCCCGCTGTGCCAGTTTGACTGCACACCAAAGCCATGGGGCTCAGCTTTAAGGTTTGCGGGGAGGCTCAGGGACCGCTGCATTGCCCACCACCATGCCTCCTGGGGGCCTTTGTGCCAGGAGGTGACCAAGGAGGGGAAGGAAGGCGAGGCTAGCAGGAGATACGTCCCGGAGCAGGGTCTGTGTGGCCTCGGCATGGGCACGGTGGCATGGCACCGCAGCATTGCCCTGCCAGCCAACTTTCCCTCTGCACCGTCCCTGCAGCAGCCCAGTATGTGATCCAGGACACTGAGACCTGCCCCAGGCTGGGCCAGCCACGGACCCAGGGGTTGTACGTGGGTAAATTAGCCCTTCAGGAACCAGCCTGGCTTCTCTGGAGCATCCCCCTCTCCTCTGGCACAGGACACGCTGTTACTGCCATGTCTCCTGCAAAGCAGGGTCCCACCCGGTTGACTGGTGCATTTTGCGTCCCCGTGTGCCCCTGCCAGGCTGGGGCAAAGTGCTTTCCAGCTGACCACAGGTGCACAGACTGCAGGCAGGGATTGTGCCCCAGCTCTGCCTTCCTCAGCACTGCCGAGGGTGTTTTCTTGCTGCCCTCATCGCTTTGCAGGGCAGGTTTTGCTGGGGACAGGACCGGACACCCTCCTCCAACGGAGAGTGCATCTTGGCCCAGGCAATTGGAAGAGGGTGTTTTTTATTAACAACAAATTAACCGTAATTGCCATTTCCACTACAGCCACTCCTCTCCCAGGCAAAGTTCCTGGCCATGCCGGTCCCTACGACCGCCGTGCCCCATTGTGTGCCCGAAGGAACGCCTTGCCCTGGGCCCAGGGGAGCGAACCTGGAGCAGCTCTGCTCAGAGAAGGAGCCAAAGCGTCTTCCCCTGCTCTCACCT